ATGGTAGAGCAACAAAGCCAAGAAAGAGCATGAAGGCCCTGAGTTCAAGGCCTAGTAAGGCATAAAAAAAAAAAAGATCTCCTTGGGCAAGAATGGTTTTAAGGGAATAGTTTAAAGGCTCCTAGCTTTCATATTTATTGCTAAAATAATCCTGACTAAAGGTGCTGCTATACTCCTTTATATAAAAGAAGACGACTCTCATTCAACCGTCTCACAAATACACATTGTTTCTGTCATTCTGGCAGTATGTAAAAGCCCCCAGCACCAAACAGATGGCAAAAATCTTGGAAAAAATGAATAAACCTAGTGACAATGTAACAAAACTTTTAAAAAGGTACCCTATAATGTTTGCTTTTAAATTAAGAAAAATTTAATTATCAGTTGAGCTATTTTAAAATTTATTATAGGGGGCTGGGAAGGTGGCTCAGTGGTACAGCGCTTGCCTTGCATGCTTGAGGCCCTGGGTTCGATTCCTCAGCACCACATAAGCAGAAAAAAAAGCCGGAAGTGTAGCTGTGGCTCAAGTGGTAGAGCGCTAGCCTTGAGCTGAAGAGCTGAGGGACAGTGCCCAGGCCCAGAGTTCAGGCCCCACGACCGGACCCCCCCAAAAAAATTATTATAGGTTAACTGAGGGAATTTTGACATTCAAGGAATTAAATGACATTAGTACTTCTATTTTCATCAGCGTTCTTAGGACTTTTATTTCCCCATTTTTGCTGGACTGGGGATTGAACCTAAGGCCTCACGCATGCCAGGCAAATAAGCTACCACTTGAATTATACTCCCAGCTCGGTGTTTTTATTTTGTTTTTGAGATAGGATCTCAATAACTTTGCTAAGGCTAGCCCCAAACTCATAATTCTCCTACCTTCATCTCTCAAATAATAGAGATTATAGGTGCATACCACCATGTCTAGCTTCTATTTAAGACGTATTAGAATTGACTCTAGTCTTATCTCATTCTAAAGAACTTTGTATTTGTCCATGGACACATGAATTAATTTTTATAGAACATCTCTGTTCCTATCATTAATAAGCTAACTTCTAATAATACATAATTTTTACATGAAAAATTATTTGCCAAAACTTGGAGTTCTACTTGACATAGCAACAGGCTAAGCAATTTGAAGCTATATGTCTGTATTCATGTACATGCAACAGAAATGTTGAGAGAGGTAGATTTGGCAGTCAGTCACACATCTCTAGTCCAGGCAAATGCTAACCTCAAAAGCAAGAGTTGAGAGGCTTAACTGAATACACTTTTGTCAGAATCATAGGCTAGGAAAAAATAAAACATGGAGTTCAGGACCCTTCAAGAAGAAGAGAACTTGTAAACATTCCACACCTTCAATTGTGACAGTGAATGACATCATCCTAGAGATAAGAATGAGCTACATGTAGACAAGGGAGGGAAGCCTTCATAAAGACAAAACTTGGCTTTGAGACATTTTAATCCATGAATAAATCCACTATGGGTGAAAGTGGCCTGCCCTCAATCTAAGTGACCACTATAAGCAAAGACTACTTATAGTGATGGTAACAAGATATAGCTATTAAATGATAGCTAAAATTTTCAGAGAGAATAGGAAGTAACCCCAAATAGAAAACAAGGCCTAGCCTTTCCAACTCAAGAGAAACAAAGCAGACAATAGATTCAAATCTATGGGTACTTTGATATGAGACATTCAAGAAGTATGAAGAAAGAACTAAGGGAAAAATGGAGACTTGCATTAGTAAATTAAAATCTTTCTTGGAAAAAATTTCTAGGACTACCAGAGCTAGGATGAACAGAGCTATCCAGGCAAAATGTGGAGGGACAAAGAGAATTAAAAGGCACAAAAGCATGCAAAACACATATGAAACACAGTGGAAAGACCATAGAAGAAGAGAAATGGAAAGAGACAGAGTCAATATTTGAGAGAGAATAAGAATTCTAAAATTAACAGCTACATCAAAGCTAGTTTTATTAGCTAGGTGCTGGTGGCTGATGTCTGTAATCCTAGATACTCAGGAGGGTGAGATCTGAAGATCAGGGTTCAAAGGCAACCCAAGCAGAAAAGTCCATGAGACTCTTAGCTCCAATTAACTACCAGCAAACCAGAAGAGGAGCTGTAACACAAAGTGGTCTTGAGCAAAAAGAGCTCAGGGACAGTGCACAGACCCTGAGTTCAAGACCCACAACTGACAAAAAAATAAGTGCTATGAAACCCAAGAAAAAAATTATGAATTTTGAAGCTGTTAAAATGCAAAGATAATGCAAAAATCTTAAAAATAGCTAGAGAGAAAAGTATTCAAAAGGGCAATAAGAGTTACAGTGACTTTGTAACAGAACTATTGAGATCTAAAATACAATGGGATTGTACCAAAACGCTAAGAGGAAACAATTATCCACCTAAAATTATCCACTTATATCATGAAGAGGAAAGAGATGCAGGAAACAAAAAGCTGAAAATAATAGAAAATATGCTAAGAAAAGCTCAAGGAAGTTATTTATATCATGTAGGAACTTTTATTTTCTTTCCATCCATGTATCCCTCCTTCCCTCCCTCCCTTTCTTCCTTCCTTTCTTCCTTCCTTTCTTCCTTTCTTCCTTCCTTCCTTCCTTCCTTCCTTCCTTCCTTCCTTCCTTCCTTTCTTTTCTTCTTCCTTTCAATACTGGAGATTGAATCCAGGGCCTCCTACTTGCAAGGCAAGTTCTCTATCAATTGGGCTACGCCTCTAGAGCTTCTATTTGCATTTTGTTTTTTAGATAAGTTCTTACTTTTTCTTGGTTTGCCTCACACTCATGATCCTCCGGTCTCCACCTGAATAGCTGGGATTATGTGCACTATTATGTCCCATTTATCATTGTCATTTGTAGACCCCAGCCTCTCCTTATCCTTCTGCTCTTTTAACATGATGCCTTTTCATATTAACAGTGGTTACTTCACAATTTCAAGGTGGCTGCCACAGGTCCGGAGGTCATGTCTTCATTATCTGAATTCCAAACTATGAAAGATGGAGAGACAGTGCCAATAGTACAACTTTATCTTTCATAAGGAAGCAAAGCTTTCCACCACAAGTAGATCTCAGTGGTTACTAAGTTCAGTTCCTCAGTAGATCCCAGAACATGGCTACAGGAGCATTCCTAGCCATAAGGAAACCTTGAGAATGAAAAGCTTATTGTTTCCATAGTAATAAGAGGTGGAAGATAAGTTCAGCATGGTTTTAGTTTAGTTCTCCACCCCACAAGTCTACTACACAAACCACTAAAAAATTAATCTTTCTTACCTTTTGTTGTACTTACTTTTCTTCTTTTGAGGACATAAATATGCACTAAATATTTACAAAAAGGAATTGCCTTTGGCAATATTATTTTAGTCTTTTTTTCTACTTACAATATTATATCAATAACTATAATTGGCATCATTTTCATCCCTTTGAGGCATTTTGCTCTATGTATATGCCACAACCCAACTATACTGTAGTTTTTTAGACTATGTTCTCAGAAGTGTTTTGTTAGGCAAAGCATGTATATAATAAAAATTATCTTAATATTGCCTAACAACCTTATCCCCAGGTTATGGCAGTGACACAAGATCCACCCCAAGATGTGTGCCTCCTACAACAGCCCCCACTCACCCAGTTTTCCTTTGCATGATTTTAGTTTTCTGTGGTCAACTGCTGTTTGCAATAAATAATTCATAAGCTTTCAGTTATACACCATTCTTAGTCGTGCGATAAAAATCTTGTGCTGTCCTATTCTGGCTCACACAAGACATGAACTACTCCTTTGTTTAATGCGTCCACACTGTGTATGACTCCTTCCTCCATCCTGCTGCTCGACTTCTGAGAAAAAGAGAAGACTGGGGCAGAGAGACTGAACCCACTCATATCCGAATGCCCCTGGTTCTTTTACTACATATTGGGAGAGTCAAAGCCATGGCTCAGAATTCTTGTGTTAAACTTGGTGACGTTTGCTCCTCCCTCATCTACTGGAATGTTAGGTCCAGTTAGTCTTTGTGTGCCACAGGATACCAAAATGCCTATTTCATAAATATCTCACAAATCAGATTCTACCAATGCTGGATTCCAAAATAGGCATGGTGTACTAGAGATTTAATAGGTTCTTTAGGTCATATTTCATTTATTTTAACTTTTTGTTATAAAGGTGATGTACAGAAGTGTTACAGTTATGTAATTCAGGTAAAGAATACATTTATTTTTGGACAATGCTACCCTTCCTTTCCTCTCTCCCAGTCAAGACTTCATAGTTTTGAAAAGTACATAGAAAACAATTATAGTGAAGGCATTTCTGTGTGCTCATTAATTTTTACTTTGTTTCCATTATCAAATTATTGCTGTCTCTGCCATGGGCCACCAGTGTTGCACAGGGATAACATTTAAGATCCTCTGCTCCAAGGAGGCAAAAAGCATCATGTAGAAGTCATTTTTTGGTGTCAGTAATGAGACTTGAACTCACAGCTTCCATACTCTCACTGGGCTTTTTTATTCTTAGTTGATTCTGTCACTTGAGCCACCAAATCTCTAGTCTGGCATTTTGCTGGTTAATGGAGACAAGAGTCTGGGATTTGTCAGCCCAGTCTGATTCTCAGATCCCCCAGCATATACCGAGTTACTAGGATTATAGACAGGAGCCATCACTTCTAGCTTACCAGTTCTTTTTATTTTTATTTTTTGTCAGTCGTGGGCCTGAACTCTGGGCCTGGGTGCTGTCCCTCATCATTTCAGCTCAAGGCAAGCGCTCTACCACTTGAGCCACAGCTCCACGTCCGGCTTTTTCTGCTTATGTGGCACTAAGCAATCGAACCCAGGGCCTCATGCATGCAAGGCGAACACTCTACCACTGAGCCACCTTCCCAGCCCTTACCAGTTCTTTTAGTTTGTGAAAATGAACATAAATTTATTTTGACTAACAATATCTGGTCTCTGACGTCAGCTTCAAACCCTACCTTAAAGATTGGCATCAGAGTAACCATTTGCCTTCTGTTTCCTTCTTAGGCTGTGAGGTTGAGATTCTCGGGGTCAGACCTAAATACTGTTTGGAATATAAAAATGTCCCAACGGATATCAACTTTGCCAATGCTGTCAGTGATGCTCTAGACTCGCTCAGGTAAGTGTCCAAATCCTCGGTGATACTATTATTCCCATTCCCAGAACCAATAATGGGAACTGAAGTGTGTTAAGAGGCCCTGACATAGGTGAAATAAGGTCTTGTATAGTTGTTTTTTTTTTATGGTGACTGTTGGCTACTACTAGGGTATAAGTTTAAGGAAGTAATTTTAGGCAGGGTACTCTTTAGAAGTGTTGAATCGAAAGGCAATTGCCAAGATTTTAGGATTTTTTTTGTGCTATTGGACAACAATGACATAAGTATCAACATTTTCCTTAATGATTTAGTGAGAAATTACATTTCTAAGACATTAGGATTAGGCAAAAAGGTGACATCTGTGAATAATGAATTTGGAGAAATTGCTGATTTTACCCCTCCTTGGAGAGGTACAAAACATATTTACATATTAAGACATAGAAGTTTTCTCTCTTCTCACATGGAACAATGGCACAAGATTTGAAAAATGAAGAAATTAATAATGCTGCTCTGAACAGCACACATGAATCTGTCAGAGAAACTGATTACAAAATAACTCAAGATAAAGTCTTAAGCGACTACCAGAAATTACTGGAAAAGGTAATCAAAAAGGCAGACCAGCTCAGCATGGTGGTTCATTTTTGTAATCCTAGATACTTAGAAGGCTAAGACAAGTAGTATCATGGTTTAAAGTCCAGAGGGGAAAAAAAGCTTTTGAATTTCCCCATCCAAACCAATAAATAGGAGTGGAGCTGCATGCCTGTCATCCCAGCCATGTGGCAGGCTGAGAGCAGGAAGATGGCGATTCTAGGCTAGCCTGGGCAAAAAAGTTTGTAAGATGCTATCTCAACAGAAAAATCAGGTGTGCTGGTAGAGACCTGTCCTCTCAGCTACACAGCAGGAAGTGGAAAAGGGATTAGATTGCATGGCCCAAGTAGTAGAATATCTTCCTAGCTGGTGCAAATCCCTGAATTCAAATGCTAGTACTACCATCAAAAACAAAGCAAAAGCAAACAAAAGACAACCAGCTGAAAACCTGCATAAGAGATTAGAGGCTGAGCATATTGCCAGGTCTCTATTTTCCAGGGTTGTACTTGAGGTCATCTTGGTTGCTGAATTCATTTCCTGGTAAAGTTGGAGTAGAAGACTCATAGTGATCCGAGTATAGACACCTGGGTAGGACCTTCATCCTCCAAAACACGGAGGATGGCTTGTAGCTGGTACAGGGAGAGCTAACCCATGCTAAACACAGTGGGCAGATCACGAGCCCTAGTCACAGGAACTAGCCCTAACTGAGGTCACATGGCCAATGTGAATCCCATTTCACTTCCTTTATAGTTCAAGATACAAGGTAAGTGGCAGCTGTCAAGGGAAAAAGGAAGCCTTGCCTCCACTGACTCTAGAACACTCCATGTCTATGAAATAAAGGGCAGATTCCAGGAGAAGTACTCTTTTTATTTTTTGTGCCAGTCCTGGGGCTTGAACTCAGAGCCTGGGTGCTGTCTCCAAGCTTCTTTTGCTCAAAGCTAGTGCTTTACCACTTGAGCCACAGCTCCACTTGAGGAATACTTTTTAAATGTTCTTTGTATGCTTATAAAATACATGTTCCATATGATCTTGCCTCTTAGTTACACTCACTTCCTTCCTTCCTTCCTTCCTTCCTTCCTTCCTTCCTTCCTTCCTTCCTTCCTTCCTTCCTTTCTTTCCTTCCTTCCTTCCTTCCTTCCTTCCTTCTTTCTTTCTTTCTTTCCTTCTTTCTTTCTTTCTTTCTTTCTTTCTTTCTTTCTTTCTTTCTTTCTTTC